GAGAGGTGCGAGCAAGTTACCAGCTGCACTTGCAGTTGCTACAAGGGGCTGCCATATCTGACTTGGATTTATACTTAATTATTTTCTGTCAAACTGAGGATGCAATTCCGGCCTTCACGGATGCTAAGCAGGTGTTCTACCCCTGAGTTACCCTCCCAGTTCCTGGTTCATATGTTCTATTTCTTGTTACTTTTACTTGTTATTTGTGTGTGTGCACGTGTGGAGGCTACAGGACAGTTTGCGGGCTTGGTTCACTCCTTCCACCGTGTGTGCCTGGGGACAGAACTTAGCTGTCAGGCTTGGCAGCTAGCACCTTTACTGACTGAGCCAGCTCATGGGCCCTGACTCATATTTAAAATTTCACTTAGAGCGCAGAGAATGATTTATTAGAAGGTCAAAGTAGGGTCGTAGGCCAGTCCTAGCATTAATTAGTGGTCGGTTCTGAAGACTCCTAGGTCAGGAAAGAAAACAAGTTACAATAAATTTATTTATTTTATGTGTGTATATGTACCACGTGTGTGCCTAAAACCCATGTGTGTCAGAAGAACATAGCAGATCCTCTGGAACTGGAGTTACAGGCCGTTGTGAACCACCATGTGCATTATGGGAACTAAATTCAGGCCCACTGCAAGAACAATGAAGGATCTTAACCAGTGAGCCATCACTCCGGACCCATGAGTTATAAGCTTTGAAAGAAATGTTTTGAATCAAGCAAAAACCAAAAGTAATGAAAAAATCACACCAAAACAGAACTGATATAATATATGACATTTGTATATTTATTTATTTATTTACTTTTATTTAATGTACACTGGTGTTTTGCCATGGGTGTTGGGTCTCCTAGAAATGGAATTACAGACAGTTGTGAGCAGCCATGTAGGTGCTGGAAATTGAACCCAGGCCCTCTGGAATGGCAGCAAGTGCTCTTAACTTCTGAGCCATCTCCCCAGCCCTAATATTTGTATATTCTTATCCTAAAAAAAAAAAACTTAAGAGTTGGTACCCAGTTTTCTTGGAAGACACAGCAAACTAGAACATATTCTTTCATATTGGATCCTAAAATTCCCTTTTATGGTTCTTCAAATTCCTCTTGACCTGAGGTACAGAACTGTGAACCCGTACCACAGCGTCTCTCCAGGTGTCTAAACATTAGTGAGCACCAAACCCTCTGCGGCCCGGCTGTGCACTGCAGCGCATTAACTCGGCAATGAACATTGCAGACGCCGCTGTTCCTTCTGCCTTCTCCCACATTCGGGGAGCACACTGGGTGTAGCATTACTTTGTCATTAGAACCACACAGAAAACTTCTCAGGAATTAATTTCACTATTATTCTATACCAAGTCTGGCCCAGACACATTCCTCACTCAGCACTGACTGCTCCGTGTTTTTAATGGAGCGATAAGGTGGTAGAAAATGTGACAGAGTGGAGTTCTTTAATGTACTTTGACAGCTAAAGTTCTAGAACTTACTACTTGGTTAAGAATGAAAACCCTGAAGTCAGACAGCTGGGCTCAGGCCCTGGCTCATCCCCTTTACTGTACTGCATATAGAAAGTTACATAATTTCAACAAAATGAAACAGAAATTTGCTAAGTTCCAAAGAACACACTCTACATAAAGCATAGAGAAAGGGATCTCTAACACAGGAGAGGGCCAATCTGATATCTCCCCATCTCCTTTATCAAAGAGCACACACCTCACAGATTACATTGTACACACATGTAGGTAAGACATGCCTATGGACAAAGGGCTGTTAACCACTGTAAGCACACACACACACACACCTGCACCATGTTAAAATTCCTGAAAAGAAGGGGGTAACTTGCATCCCAGAGCCTCAATCCAAACTCCTTCGCCCCGCCAGTCCAAAACCTTCTTTTGGGTCGTTTTCCCATTGTGTGTGTCTATGTCTCAACACCTATGTAAGGAGCCTTGGATTCTACCAAATGATCTGGGTATGAGAAACGTTAAGTTCCAGTACGGGAAGGTTCAGTCTTTCCACATCAAGGACAGGTGAGCTAGATTTGAGGCTGCTATGAGCAAGGTTCATGAAACATCATCTAGAAAAGCTTCCCCAGAAGGCCTCCACAGACAACTTCAGGGCAGTATTGACTCGGCAGACACCAGGGGGTAGCAAAATCTCACTCTCTTGGCTCCTGGGCACTAATTATAAGGAAACTGGTGAGTCTAGCTTGACTGGAAGGTTAGAATGAGTTCCATCTACACGGGTCATAGCCTATGGTCACAGGATTCCCCTTCCCGAGGTTCTGTTTGAATCCTGTGAACCTGATGGCTCTTCCCTTAAGTTTCTTCCTTCCCCAGACCCAGGGGGAAAAAGGCAGTTTCTCCTGAAGGGAGAAGTGTCATTTGTTACCTAGGCCCTTCCCTCTCCTCGGAGCTGTTGCCCGGGTTCCGTCGTTGCAACCTCATCGGACTGTAACCACTGCTACACATCTTTTACACAAACTTCACCCTCAACCTGCAGCATAGTGCCTTCAGGCCCTCTCTGGGAACTGGGTAGCTTTCAGATCGCCTCGCAAATGTGCACCTTTTGGGCGAGTCCGCTGTGCCTCAGAGGCATGCAGGATGACCCTTGTTGTGCTGAGGTCGCCCGAACCCTTCTGGGAGAAACCACCCGTCCTTCATTTCCCACGAAGAAGCGATACTGTTTGTCGGTGGGACATAAGGGGTGAGCCTAGAACTTTTGAAAGGAATCTAGCTCCCTTTGTCTGCAGAGTAAGATAATAGTCACTGCCAGAACCCTAGCGGTGGCGGGCCACTATCGCCCTGCAACAAGCCAGATCTAGCATCAGTACCAAAGCGTGGGATCCAGGCCAGGAGCTGCTGCCTCCCCTCCTCCATCCTCATACAGGGGTATGAGGTTCAGAAAAAGGCAGAGAGGAGCAACTCCGAAAACGCCCCCCAGACCCTACAGAAGAATCCTGATCCAGGAGCACAACACCCACCCCCATGCCAAGCCTTTACTTCTCCATAATTTCCCCCCTCATCCCCCGCCCTCCCCAGGCGGCACACAGAAGCTCATTGTAGTTGTCTGGACTCTCGAGACCCAAGAAGGTGGAAGGAGAAAAAGGGCGGGCAAACGCCCAAGGCTTGGGGAGATCCCCTACTTTCTCTGCCCTCAGCTCTACCTACAGGGAACCGGAGCATGTGAGTGGATCTGGGCCCCAGGACCTCGCCAAGCCTGGCCACGGACCGGAGGGAGAAGCGTCATGAGTCTTAGAGATGGAAGAAGGCTTCTGGCCGCTCGACAACCTCGGTC